AAATTAATCGAAAATTAGAAGTTGAAGAACATAGAATATGCGAGAAATCTGAGGGAACCACCGATTGATACACAAGAACAGGCTGAATTGAGTCCAATGGACAAGACGGGCGAAACCTAGGCATGGCTGAGAAAACTCCTTAAATGCGTTCAGATGCATAAAAATACATGAACAATTCGCTCAAACTGGCAGAAACTCAAGAATAAGACTCATCTATGTAAAGTATCGCCATGAGCTACAACCATAGTCAAGCCTAGAGCCTCAGCCATAACGTGGCTTCTTGATGATTTGTTGGATAGTCAAATTTGTTACTAAATACGCGTCTATGCATGCGGCTAGGCTAGGCGGAGTGGCACATGTTGGAGGAGTGCAAATGAAAAAATAAGTTTTACGTATAAACAGTAGTTATAGCTGCATACCGGTATCTCACGGTCTGATATACCTTCTGCAATGGACACAATTTCAGCTGCATGTTGTCAGGCCTATTATTCGAGAGGAGCCAGAGAATTGGGACATTCATGTTGATGCTCACGTTCTCAGTAAACGTTATGGGGCTGTATGGCTAGCATCAAAAACACTATCCGACAAAGAACACTTGGTTAAAAGTGATCAAACAAGTCTCATGACTAAAGATAGCCAAGCAGGTGATCATCAGTGTTACCATGGTAATTTAACGTAGGAACCATCAGCAAAACCCGTTTAAGAGTGAGCTCTTACCATAATAGTAGCCTGGCCGTAATTGAGGAGGCAGTGTATATGGCGAAAACTGGGTTTCGTACGCTTCCTCGGCTATTTTATGCCATTGGACAGTTGAGTTCGTTTGATTATTTAGGACTATCAGAAGCCAATGAAGGGTTTTCTCGAAATCTCGAATGTAGATTAAGCGTGGGCCTCGATGGTTTGTCGTCTTCCAATACGAAGGAATTCATTTGGACGATGTTTGCATCGTCAAGGAGAACGATGCAACCCTCGAATAGGCGATAATAACAACAGAATAAACTTATTTTTCGAATTAAGTATTGTTTTCGTGACTACCAGTAAATCAGTAGTATGAAATTTATTCACCCTATTTAATTTAAGGTGATGAAGTACTGGTAGAAGAAGATCTTTCCTACGATGATATGAGTTGAGCTGACAAGTAAATACATCTCATATTACTGATTTACTGGTAGTCACGACAACAATACTTAATTCGAAAAATAAAGTATATTAGTCGATTGTTATAGCAGATATACGTTTGCGTCATCGACAATTCCACCAAAAGAATATGATATGGCAAAAAAAAGGCCTAGCCTTCCTTGAAAATTCACATTTGCCCTGTGACACAAAAAGGCGCTCATGGCAATGTAACCGAGTGGTCAGCGTGTCAAGTTCCCATCCTGCACTGTCACGGTTCCACTCACGATGAGGCTGCTGATAAGACCGATGCGAGGTCGAAACTGCAGTCCACTGGTGCCTGGATGAGAACAACTTTTGGGAAAGCAAAGCTATGTGAAATTCAATGAAAACGTCAGCTGAACTCATATCATTGTGGGAAAATTCTTCTTCTACCAGTCCTTTATCACCTTAAACGAAACTTGATGAATACATCTCAGAATAAACTTACTTCGAGTTTCTGACCCCCAGTCAACTTCTCATACAAATCGAAAAGTTCAATGAGCTGAGAAGATCACTATTTCCTTAACAGTTATAAATTTATGAGATAAAAAAAGGACTCACTCCCCAACAGTGGTTGAATATATTAATCTATATTAAACCTAATGAGAACTTAATGTAGGCTAATGTCGTCGAAAGTTATCAATAGTCTAGATTGACGATGTTACTTAGTTTTGATGTGACTTAGGATTATGAAGGTTATTCATATTACAATGGCTAACTTCCACTATCAGTGATGACATCAATTTAAGAGACTTAGGATGAATAAATTCTTATTAAAAGACTACCAGTTGTTTCTAAAAATTATCATATTAAAGAAAAACCTAAGCCAACAGACTTCACGACTCTAATACTCGATCGGCCAAGCTACCAATCTCGTTTTCGCAGGATCCCAGTGCCTTAACAAAACACCAGGGACAAGTCATGAACAGTGGGTTCACATGGTCTATAGTAGGTTGCAGCATGGGGCGCAGGAAATTAGAGCTCAATCATAACTTGTAGACAAATCAATTGTCAGGTTGCCATCTAAATGTTGTTTTTGTTGTGAAGTTTAACTTCTCAGTTCGATTCCCGTAGGGGTTGCTGATAAAACCTAAATGAGTTCAAAACTGCAGTCCCCCTAGGCGATAATGCCTTTTGGAAGACGAGATTAGTTAAAACTCAATGGTATCCTGAAGCCTACTCACATCAATATGGAAAAGTTCAACTGCTAGTCCATCATCACCTTATGCAACCTGGGATGAATATGCTCATAGCATTTAATCGAAGCATTTAGTTTGATCGAAGCTTGCTTCTGAACCTTCAGGAGAATAACATGTCTTTGGTAGAAATACATTAAGAAAAAAAAACCTTAAATTAAAATCATCAATGGCTGAATCACCATATGACTCATTCGCAAACAGGTCGAAAATTATACACCTCCTGATGTTTGTGATATAAAAAGGAGGGTCAATGGCAAAAGCAATAACGTATCGAGTTAGGGGCAAGTAGCAATACCACTTGAAGCATTGATGTTAAGAAGTCGAAACTGAGGTACACTTCAAATAAGAGTAGCTTTTTGATATGCAACTATTGCCAGTTTTTAAGTAATGTTTCGAGACTGCCACTAAATCACTAATATGAGATGTATTCACCCAATTTCGTTTGGGGTGTTGATAAGACCGATGCGGACTCGAAACTGCAGTCCACCCTGGAGGAGAACAACTTTTTGGGAAAGCAAGGCTATGTGAAATTAAATGAAAATGCAGCTCTACTCATATCATTGTGGGAAAATTCTTCTACCAATCCTTCATCACCTTAAACGAAATTGTCAGTATTATTTGACAAAATCTTCGTCTACAACGTGAGCTCCCCGGGGTTGCTGTCGAGATGGTGTGGAGAGTTCAAAACTGAAGTAGAAAAAGTCGAGATGAGAATGACCATCAGGGATAACTATAGCGCAGTAAGATAGCCTGGTATTCAGCCCACCTTGGGCATACTCTCTATCAGTGCAAAAATACAACATTGTTTGAGAGAATTTCATTTCGCATGAAAGTACATGAAGAAGAGATTCGTAGGTTGATCTCACCAGATGAGAACGGATGAATCTATTGTACTGCAGCAGTTTGGCTTTACTATAACGTTCAGATTGACGCAGTACACGAGACCTCCCTCGTTTCGGGTGAAAACGGTGATGATGGACATCATCAGAGATGGGTGTCATTCCTAAAAATGTCTCACGTTAACACTATGGCAAGAAGACTATCCGACTCTATCTTGCCTCTTATATAGATTCAATTAAGCAAAAGAAAATTAAAAACCTAGATAGATATAGAGTGGATTGACTAATTATCCTTCATACTGGTCCTGCTACTTTTGCTCGAGTGTGTGCATGTGTGTATGTGTGTGTGTTAGCGTCTATACACAATACCGGTCCTAAATCACAGTTTTCAAAAGCATAATGTCCGTCTCTGATCATCAAGGCCTAATAACCCCAAAAAAGCCGTGACCGAGACTGCGTAAGTCCGTTGGCAAGTATGGTTGAGATAATGAGATATGAGCTTGTAAGCATGTAATTCAAGTTACGAAACCACTTGTCCTAACCTTTCAGTCTAGGGTCATTAATGTGTAACCCCCAAATGAAGGGCGTGGCTGGGGCCGCGTAATCTGGCACGTCTGG